TGAAATTTAATTCCATTAAATATCTCATGTGTCATGAGATATTTTTATTTTTCTCAACAATTTAAAAATGTAGAAACCTCCTTCAGCTCACAAGCCAAACAAAAATAGGCAGTGGGCCCTGTCTGAACCACAGGTCATAGCTTATTAACCCCTGCTCTGGATTAACTAGTTTATGGGCTTTTGGAAGATCTGTGGAGGGATATTTGAAATACAGGTTAATAGAGCATAGGAAACTTCTAAGGAAAAACATGGGGGGAAAAAAAAAGGTATTTAATGATGCCATTTATTAACACCATACTCAGCTATGGGCGAAACACTTTTATCACACACTGTTGGAAATTAAAGTCACTATCCCACTCACAAGGAGTTTTTCTCTCTCCACCAAAACCAAACTCACTGCCAGAGTCAGTTCTGACTCATAGCAACCCCTATTGAGTTTTTAAGGTTATAAATCTTTACAGAAGCAAGATTGCCTCACCTTTCTTCCGCAGAACAGCTGGTAGATGTGACCCACCAACCTTTTGGTTAGCAGCCAAATGCCTGAATAACTACACAACCAGAACTCCTTGTATTTTTCCAACAGTAGCTCAGAAATGTCTTCCTTTGATATGCAATCTATCCTTCCAGACTTCTACAATGCATACTCAAAAAACCCACTGCCATAGAGTTAATTCCAACTCATAGCAACCCCCATTGGGTTTCCATTAATATTTCCTCCTCTCCTGTGGCAAAATTATGTATCAAGTCAGCTGGGCCTGGTTTTGAGTGGCTGGGCAGCTATATGTAGTTATTCTCCATGGTGAGACTGGTAATCAAGCTACCTTAGGGATGTAGTTTGCTTCCAGTATATAAGGAGTTTTGAGAAAGGTCTCTGCAGCTTTTCGGCATGCTTGGACCCTGCATGTAGATGAATCTTCATTCGGCGGCCTGCCATGCCCTGCCGATGTTGGGATTTTTTTTCTGGACTTGAACTAGTGGCCTGCTGTGCTGTTCGAGAATCTTGGAATTGTGCCTTTCTGTTGACCTTGGGTTTGTCAGCCTCAGCAGCCAGCAGCTGCCTGAGTGAAGAAAGCCTCCAACTTCAGTGGGCCGGGAGCAGGACACAGAACTGAAGCCCAAGGTCAAGGAGCTTTCACCCAGCCTCTAGGGCTTGGAACTTTGAACTCAGACTTCTAGCCTCCTAAATTCTAAGAAAACAAACTCCTGTTTGTTAAAGCCATCCCACCTGTGGTATTGTCTGTTAGAGCAGCATTAGGTAACCAAAGGGAGCTCTGGTAGCATAGTGCCTAAAGCAGCTGACTGATAATCAGAAGGCTGATGGTTCAAACCCACCAGACACTCCTCGGAAGGAAGATGGGCAATCTACTTCCGTAGTGATACTGGCTCATCAACCCAAGGAGGGGTCGCTATGAGTCGGTCCGACTCAACAGCACACAACAACAGGTAACCAAAACATGTCCCCAGTAATTCTACCACTCTTCCACATTCTTACCCTCTCCTCCACATCATCTTGCATTATAATACTGGGTGTAACATTCAGGATGGCATGCTAAAAAGAGCAAGGAAACAGGTTCCATCTTTTTTTTTTTTCTTTTCAAATGACTAGTCTTCAGAGATTTCAACTCTTTTAACTGGTAACTTATTAGTGACTCCTCTGGTTTTTCATTTCAATTCAGATAGAAACCAGTCTGTAAGGCCAATTTAATAATATCTGGTAGCCTAGGGCATTTGACTGCTAACCAGAAGGTTGGTGGTTCAAACCCACCAGACACTCCACGGAAGGAAGACTGGGCAGTCTACTTCCATAAATATTCACCGCCTTGGAAACCCAAAGGGGGTTGTTATGAATCAGAATCGACTCAATGGCAGTGAGCGTTTTATCTTTGTTCAAAAAAGACACTTCCAAGAAAAATTTTTTCTGAGCAAATACTTTGCCTAAAAGAACACAAAACAAAAAATATATAGTACTCTAGTACAGTTTATCTTAGTTGGTTCTATAAACTGTAGATATGAAATAATATAACAGCCCACATAATATCAGCACAAGTGAAAAGCAGGAAAAAAGATATTAACTATTTGATAATTAGGAAAAAACGTTATTTATAAAATTTAGTAAGAATAAAACATTACTAATATTGTCTTGATTAGAATACAGTGAAACTTGTGAAAGCCAGAAGTTGATAGGACTGCTATTTTTCTGGGTGTTGCAAATTTTCCCCCTTGATAGAATGCACACTTTACTACTTTTCTATTGTTTGTTTTAGTGGAAAATATTTCCATTTTCCTTCTCTGACAGGTTTCCATCTTATGCAGGTTCCAGCTTTTGCTGGTTTCACTGTACTAGAATCCCATTTGTCTCTTAAGCATTTTTCTTCCAAAAATTGTCAGTACCATAGATTTTTAAAGTGGTAAGACACAATACATATCAGAATAGAAAGCAGTACACCTGATGTTTAAGATCATTACATCAGAAGTCTCAACTGGCCCCAGCAAAATCTCAAATCAAATTGAAGGGTAGGGAGTGGGGAGTGTCAGCAACTCACCAAGCAATTGAAAACGAGTTAGGAAAATAAAGTGTCACCAGATGAAATATTTGGTTGAGCCAACAGGTTCTTGGAGCTTATCATGTTAAAAGTCTTAAATAGAAACACAAAATGAACTTGTCAGTACTTGGCAAAAAGAAAACTTGTTGGTTATTGTTGAGTAGATTCCAATGCATGGTAATTCCGTGTGTGAAGAGTAGAAGTGCTGCACAGGGTTTGCTAGACCAAGAAACTAGCAGCTTGACTTTAGAGCAGTACAAAACCAAGAGGTCAATGTAGTATTTCCTTGCTATTCATATTTCACAATTGCACTTTCAACTATTGATGTATTGGTGAGCAAATCTGTAAGCTGATGTTGTTATGTGCCATTGAATTGAACCTGACTCACAGCAACCCCTCTTTGGGTTTCCAAGGCGAGTCACTATGGAAGTAGATTGCCCAACCTTCCTTCCAAGGAGGGGCTGGTGGGTTTGAACCGCCAGCCTTCTGGTTAGCAGCCAAGTGCCTTAGGCACTATGCTACCAGAGCTCAATTTTGCTAAGGCATGAACTTGAATCATATTGCAACACAGCTGTATGGGAAAATCACCTAAAGAGTGGGTCTATTGACATGGCATCTGCTTCTCCACAGTAATTCACTTATTCTCTACTCCTCTGCCTTGTTAAAGACTTGCAGGAAGTCTTCAAATATTTTCTGTAATGAAGTATATTATATATTATTTAGGTGCAATGTAGTAAATTACATGGTATGGCTTTTCTAGCCATAGTCTTTTCAAGTCCCACTTCGCTGTGAGCAACTGAGTAGCTGCTTGTAAAAAACCATCCACCTGGGGCAACACACAATAATCTGTGAAGTCTGCTTGCTCTCAGGTGTGTATAATTGCGATGTTAGGACTGGTTGGCTTTGCCACTCTGCTAGGCTCAAAATGAGCACTCCTCCAAAGGAAGATTGGGCAATCTACTTCCAGAGTGATACTGCCTTGGAAATCCAAGGATAGGTCACAATGAGTTTGATTTTGGTAGAGACAGAAGGAATCTCTGCCAGCTGAGGGAAATGTGCTGCTGAGACTGAGAGATGGCTGGTTGAGAGAATCTGAAAGCATTCCTGAACCTGAACTGTAGCCTGTTGCTTCCTTAATAAACCTTGTAATCTGTGGCCACTGTAGCGAATTACTGAACCCAGCAGAGAGGTGATGGGTGCTGCGAGAGGGACGTCATCAAGGTTGTTAAGACAGCTGGAGGGTGGCAGCATGTCTGGCCTCAAGAGAACAGGCCTTGGGCTGCTGCTGGTGATTCTGTCCTCCTCTTGTGTAGTTAGAGGAGGTCAAAAGATGCTGCCTCCCTGACCCTTTAACATTAGGATTCACAAAAATCTTGAGTATATAGCCCTCATACACCTAGACTGTTAGTTTTAATCCCTATCAGTTTTTTATGAATAGTACATACTCTTGTGCCTTCTGTTATGTACATTATTCTTTCTTTTGCAGATTCTATGACAACTGGTCAAAGGCAGACTTTCAAGAAACCCTACCCCACTGTGTTGTCTCAGGCCAAGAAAAATACCTACCTACTTGCAGATTATTCTGCTTTGTATCAGTGTTAAAAGAACTCTGATAGATTCATTTGATTATAATTCATAAGCCATTAAAATAAAGTAGCATCACAACTATTATCAAAAGGTGAAAGTAAAGCAAGCAATGGTAATGAAAGTATTCCAGGAAAGCTACGGGGGAAAATTCAATCCTGAAAATACAGACTTTTAGTTTCCAGATAAGAAGAGTTTTACTTCATCAAACTCTGTAAACATGTTTTTTAGGTTTAGCTAGGTAGTGACTAGTCAACAAAGTCGTCACTCACTGTATAAAATCAGATGAAGCAAACATATTATTGACTGACTCCAATGGCCAAGAATACTTTTATTCTTAATCAAAACATAGGATATGGAAGAAAGCATTATTTGACTTATTAACATCACTCATAATGTTGAATATAAATGTAAAATTAAGTGGTGACTCTTATCAAAGTATGATCTCTTATATTTAAGAATTAGGGGCAGATGTATATAACCAGATGGAGGACCAGACCCCCACCTCCCCCCCAAAAAACCCCTCTGATTTATCTATTATAAAGTTTGAGCTATTAAAAATTTAAAAAAAAAAAAAAAGCAAAATAAACCTGCTGCCCATCAAGTCAATTCTGACTCACAGTAACCCTATGGGACAGAGTAGAACTGCCCCTTATGGTTTGCAAGGCTGTGATCTTTATGAAAGCAGACTTCCATGTCATCTGCAGAGCAGATGGTGGGCCTAAACTGCCAACCTTTCAGTTAGCAGCCTAGTGCCTAACTAGGCACCACTACAGCCCTTGTGATATACATTTCAATTTTCTTCTGACTTTTCATTAATTTCATCAGTAACTTAATTATTCTCCAGACTCTATAACACATTACTAGTCTTCAAATTATGAATTAAAAAGAAATGTAGGCAAATACGTATACCAAGTACTTTATGAAATTCACCACATATATATGAATATCATATATAAACTTCAAAAATCAAAAGGACAATGATATTCTTAAAAGCCATGGGCTAGATAGATAAGGCCTGCCTTCCATTCCGGTCTGCATTTTAAGAAATGATTTCATGTAATGATGCTAATGTAGAAATGAATTATGTATTTTAACATCAATAAAACATTCAAGGGGCGAGCCAATACAACTTTGCATATTAAAACCAAAAGGAATACATCCTGGACACCTTAAATTATAAAATTCAGTTCTAAGCAGGAACTGTTACTGGGTAACAAATACTGCTTGTATCAAAAGTGCTGGTGACAAAGAATTCAATATACCCTCCCCACAAAATCTATTCACTTATATATATTTATTACTAGGTACCCTTATAACTACAGTAAGATTTTAAATGTTTAAGGTGCTTGAATTTTGCACTGCAGGACTAACTTAACGAGTATTTATCTGCTACATCTTTGTAGCAACTCCAGTTAGAATGATGATTCACGCAAAAAATGGTGATGTTATTTTCTAAAATGTGGCATTTGTGGAGCTGGAGTGCCCTCTATTGGTAAGGAAGAGGACACACTCATTAGTTGTCCCGCGTGCAGTTTTTCATTGATACGGAGTTCACAGCCATCCTGAAGCATTCGAACTGCAATTCGGGCAATGTTCTTAGAGTCATCAAGTCCACTATGAGGCCGCCCGTCATAATTCATTCCCAGTTTTTCAAGCATTATAGTCAGTTTGGTTTGGCTTCTAGGAACCTGAAAAATAGACAAACACAACTTAGTAAATAATCCTTTAATAATCTAAATAAAATACAGTACAAACCACAGATAAATGGAAAAACAAGAAAGTGAAAATTAACAGTAATAGCTAACGTTACGCAAATGACAATACTCTTGGCCAAATGCAGCAAACAGGTAACTCAAGCTTTTGGCATTTTAATAAATGATCTTAGAGTTTTAACTGAAAATACAAACAGATGGGATCCTCAAACATTTACATATTTTATGAAGTTTTATAATTGTATGGAGTTTTATCATTTAACAAACCATTGATTAAAGATAATGTGTTGTTCCAAATATCGTTGAAGATCTACCTTTTGAAGCCAAACTAACTCTCTTGTGCTATATTCTGTATTCTTTTACTTCACTGACTTCTTAGATAGCACTCAAAAACATTTAGCCTTTTTAGATAACTAAAGATAATGAAACTTTCAGGATAGCTGTGAACTCTGAATCAAGGAGAAAATGCATGTGGGATGCTAATGATGTAGTATGATATTTTTCAACTTATTTAAATACCTCTTCCATTTTGATAAATACAACTATCTTACACATTCCTCCACTTCCAATATGTACCTCCCACTTCTGAGAATCATTGTTCAGTTTTCTGTAGATTATTGTCAAGAAAAAACTTAACTTTGTTAACGTTTACACATTTCTATCTGTATCACCTATTCATCTTTGAGACTCAGCTTCTTCATGTGTAAAACGGGAATAACAATACTGCTTATTCCAAGGTTAATGGGAGAATTACAAAGCAAGTGATATATAAAAGTACCATGGTGAACATCAGTAATCATCTTAAGCTATGATACCACAATGTACTTTTGTTCTTCCACCAAACATGACCAAGAAAATGTACTTTAAAAAATAATTTTTCATATCTTTTTTTATTCTCAAAATATTATCTTCCTCTCAAAACCTCTATGTGCAACTCCCAACTTCCTATTACTATGAACAGGCAGGATAGTGGATAATCAAATTTATTCAAAGTAGGTATAAATTTAGAGTAAGGACCTAGTAAAATGTCTTAGAGATAAAGCATAGGCTTTAATACTTAACATTATGCAACTAATTTTCACTATGAGAACGTCTTTTGTTGCTCAGTTTTAAACTGTTTTGGACAGAAGTAGCATGTGAGGAAGTTAGTATACTTTGTATTAAATCACTTTTGTTTTGCATAAAAATACAGCCGTTATTGCTGAAAAAACACCACAGGAACTAAAAACTGTCATGTTTACAAAGTTACTAAACATAAACTGCAAAATTTTATTTTTCTAATAAAAGCCAAAAAACCGAGCCTGTTGCTGTCGAGTCAATTCTGACTCATAGTGACCCTACAGGACAGAGTGGAACTGCCTCAGGGGTTTCCAAGTTTACAATCTTTATGGAACCAGACTGCCTCCCCTTTCTCCTGCAGAGCCCCTGCTGCATTCAAACCACTGACCTTTCAGTTAGCAGCTGAGTACTTAGCCATTGTACCACCAGGGCTCCTGATTTAACCACTTGGCATTATTATTCCTTTTTATTTTCTCAAATTGGAAATAATAATAGATATCACCACCCAAAAGATATAATACATTTCTTAGTCCAGAGAACAAAAAGGGAAATGTATACCAATATACAATTCTCAAACTGCCTTTTATATAAGTATTCTCTTAGACATAAACAGAGTATTATAAAAGCAGTTACACTGGCTTCACTGAAACTGTTCAGACAAGTGAACAATATGCACACTCACACACACCTTGTTGTTGTTGTTAAGTGTCATGGAGTCAACCCCACCTCATCACGACCCTGTATGACAGAGCAGAATTAGCCCCCGGGGTTTCCTAGGCTGAAATATTTATGTGAGCAGATCACTAGGTCTTTTCTCACGAGGAGCCATTGATGGGTTTGAAAAGCCAACCTTCCAGTTAGCAGCTGAGCGCTTAAGCATTGTGCCAGTATGACTCCTTTTATACATATGTATATGTATACAGCATGTGTGTATATGCACATATATATAACAAACAACCCCTACTATTATACCACTTTATTATACTAGGGATAATGTATCCTTACATATAGCGCTCCTCATCTGCTGTTCATTTGGAATATTCTTACATTGTAGCCAATTACTTTTGTTTACTCAGTTACAACTATAGATCCTTAACCTTTTGAATAGTGTAGTACAGCAAGTCAGAGGACATGGATTCTACCTGGTGCCCTTTGGCAAATCATTTATACATGAGACCTCTATGTACTATTTTTGTGACATTCTATGATTCTGTTATTTCAAAATAAGAAGTTAAAAAAAATCCTCAATGGACAGGTTAATAGTTTATTAGACAGAGTAAAAGACAGAATTAGTGAATGGGGCAGTATACCAGAAAAAAATGATCAAGATTAAATCAAGACAAAAGAAAATACAGAAAAAAGGTTAAAAATGTAGGTGTCAGAGTAAGAAACTCTACATATATTTAATCAGAAGGATGGGAAAGAAGACTATGATAGAGACAACATTTGAAGAGACAATGGCTGAGAATGCTCCAGAAATAAGGGGGGGGGGGTAATAGATTCAAGAAGCACAAAACAAAAAACCACTGCCATAAATTCTGACTCACAGCACACACCTCCTCCAAAATGTCTTTCTCTATCAAATATCTAGACTTGCAATATAACAGTTCTGTAAAAATTATTTTTTCAATAAATGATCTTGGACAACTGATTAGCCATCTAGATATAAGAGAAACATTAAAAAAAAAAAAAATCAACTCAGGTAGATTTAACCACCTACAAGTGAAAGGGAAAACAACAAAGCTTTGCAAGATAAAGGAAAATATGATTTTGAGGTAAGAAAGAGTTTCTTAAGACACAAAAGCATGGACCATTAATGGAAAGAGTAAAATTCAACTATATTAAAATAAGAACTTATGTTCATCAAACGGTAGAACAACCTTACAGAAACATGGGCTAGAGAAATGAAAAGATAGTTAAAGAAGCTTCCACTGGCCAAAGATGGATTAAAATGTATCCAATCAGTATAATTATATTTTTAAATGATACCATTAAGAAAAACTAGGAGCTCTGGTAGCATAGTGCCTAAGGCACTTGACTGCTGACCAGAAGGCTGGCAGTTCAAACCCACCAGCCACTCCTCGGAAGGAAGGCTGGGCAATCTACTTACACAGTGATACCACTTTGGAAACCCAAGGAGGGGTCGGTATGAGTCAGGTCTGACTCAATGGCAAACAACAACAACAACATTAAGAAAAGCTAATGGAACTCATTAGGTTATGCTACTGAACAACTCATTGCTTTGAAAACTGATTAATAAAAGGAAAGAATCATTTTTCCTGTCTTTCCTATTACCATAATGTAATTAAATATTAGATGAGGGAAACTTTCCTTTCTTAGAATATTCCAGCTAATAGAATAACAAAATTAGAAGGTCACATTTTACAATCCTTAAAAAATTAATGATAGTCACTGGTCATCAGTGGCAACTAACACACTAAAAGGGACAATCTGACATTGTTACCTCCTAACGCATAGTGCTTCAACTGGAGTTCTATGAAATCTCCAAGATGTTGCTAGAAGTTTAACAGTACACAGTAAGACCAGGTTCATTTGGTTGTGCCCATTCTCAGTGTCTGAATGATGAGGTAAACAAATAAATAAACAAACAAAAAAAACTCAATGCCATCAAGTCAATTTCACTCATAGCAACCCCTCCTTGGGTTTCTGAGGCAGTATCCCTATGGAAATAGATGACCCAATCTATAATTGATAAGTGCTATACATAACCCAGAGGGGATCTTCTCTCTCCAAAATTATCTTCTCTTACCCTCTTACACATGGGTGACTGCATTACAGGAATGGCAAGATTTACCAGTGCAATACAAAATCAGAGAGAAATACTCTTTCTAAAGAAGGAATTTTTATGCACTGCAACTTGGATACCTGCTTGTTACTTTACTGTTGTTCTAAAACCCTAAAATTCTTAGAACAAGCAGGGACAATCTGTCAGGCCTATATTTCAACAATAGAATATCTAATATAATAACAAAAGCACAAACAACAAAAGACAAAATAAATAAATGGGACCCCATGAAAATGAAATATTTTATCAAAAGATTTTATAAAAAAAGTAAAAAAAGACAAGGTACCGACTAGAAAAATAACTTCGGAATTCATAGATCTGACAAGAATCTAATACACAAAATATATACAAAACTTTGACAATTTAACAACAGAAAGACAAATAACCCAATCATAAAATGGACAAAGACTTTGATGAACCACTTATCACCAGCAAGGAGTCAATTCCGATTCATACTGATGCTACAGGACAGAACAGAACTGTTCCATAGGGTTTCCAAAGCTGTAAATCTTTACGGAAGCAGACTGCCTCATCTTTCTCTCATGGAGTGGCTAGTGGGTTTGAACCACTGACCTGGTTAACAGCCCAATGTTTTAACCACAGTTATCACCAGAACTTAAGGACTTGGATCATCCCACAAAAAGAACATTCACATGGCCACCAAACACATGAAAGGATGCTCAGTGTCATTCGCCACCAAAGAGATGCATATCAAAAGCACAACATTACCATTACAATCCTATGCTGAAGCATGAATCAGCACTTTCCCCCTTTTTCAGTGCCAAATAATATTCCATTGTATGCCTACGTTGTTGCTGTTATGTGCCCTCGAGTCAGACCTGACTCATAGCAACCCCTCCTTGGGTTTCTGAGGCAGTATCACTACAGAAGTTGATTACCCAATCTTCCTTCAGAGGAGTGGCTGGCAGGTTTGAACCACCAGCCTTCCAGTTAGTAGTCCAGTATCTTGGGTACTATGCTACCAGGGCTCCTTGTATGCATATACAAAGTTTTATTTGTTGAAGTATGAATCAATACTTTTTCCCTTTTTCAGTGCCAAATAATATTCCATTGTATGCATATATAAAGTTTTATTTATCCATTCATTAAG